GCAGCTATAGATAGGAGCTAGTGAGTAAGTGAAAAACAAATCTGGTAACTTGACAACATGCTTCAATTTGATCAAATTTGTCCGTTTTGTGAACAGCAGTAAGTGTGAAATGTGTAACCACATGGCTTTATCTCTCGGACCTAAGTTTTGCTCAACTCAACCACGTTATCATCCGTTGGAAATTGAAACTCAGTTCCAAGGTTTAATGAGCCACTTGTATGACCTGTTACCACCATCATCGAACTCAGTTGACGGCCTGAAAACATCACTTGTTTATGAATGTTAAAAGCATCATACGAGTAAATCTTCTTTTAATGGAATATTTACCAAGCAACATCGAGAAGCAATCGAAGAACTATTGAACAAACAGGACTAACTACTGTCAAAACCAGATAGAGTTGCTGGATGTGTCTTACTAGACCGAGGCGGCTACGAAGAAAAAATGATTTCTGTTTTATCTATTGAGAGCAAATTCATTTACAATCCGAGTGAGAAAGACAAAACACAAGAAACCGAGACAAAATTGACAGAGAACTTGAAACAGCTTAAGTCAGACAACGCCATTTCCAAATCGCTCTATGACAAGCTTGTGCTCTGCGGCTCGCAACCACGTAGACTCTACGGATTAACAAAAGTGCAAAAACCAAGTGTACCCCTAAGACCGGCGACTGACATGAGCACCTCAGCCTATCACGCCACAATTCAGTGGATTGCATAAATTCTTGAATATTTGCGCAAATCACTGGCAAGGTATAGTGTGAAAGATTCTTTTTCTTTTGTGTATATGATAAAACATCGGGATCTGTTTGAACAGACTATGCCTTCCCTAGATGTGGAATCTTTATTCACAAGCGTTCCATTGATCGAGATTGTAGATTTCATTTGTCAATACTTGACCGACATGGACATCAAACTCAACATTCCCGTGATCAAGCTAAAAGAACTAATCCTTAGATGTACATGGAATATAAAATTTCTGTACAGTGGAAAATACTGCAGCCAGAAGGATGGGGTAGCAACGGGACCATTGCTTAAACCCCTTCTGGCAGATATATTCCTTGCCAAACTCAAAAGTGGACCAATCCGCAGCACCATCGACAGTCCATACCAGATACATGGGCTACACTTTCATAATTTGTGACTGAGCAAAAGATTTTACCGAACTACTGTAGACATTCGGCTGTGCCCATGCAATGACCCCATTTACAATGAAGATAGAGAAGGACAGTTTTCTCACTTTTCTTGATTTGGGATAATGTAGAATGGAGGACGGACGTATAGAAAAAGGGGTGTATCGGAAATGCAAATGGTTGGGGCAATACACACACTTCCTACGTTTTGTCCCCCTAAGGTACCAAAGTAGCCTAATGAGCTGTCTGGTCCACGGAGCAGGAAACATCTGTAGTCCTGATACAACTGCCCAAGAACTTGAACACATACATGATACATAAATGAAAAATGGCTATCCAGACCCGTTTATTCGTTAACATATGAAGGAGAGAAGACAAAAAACAAGAGTGCGAATGGCCAAGAAAATGGATGTCTTCCTATTTCTCCGTTCAAGTTTGACAAGACACTAGAAATGCTGCCGCTACACTTATCTAAGGCCCTCGGGAAGTCCGTTCTCGCTGCACTTGTCCGAATCTTTACAAATACGAAGCTTTCTATAGTTCAACAATCCAAGGACAGGTTATCTCATCAGTTCCAACCTCTTATTCTATATCAGTTTACGTGCTCTCGTAGTGCGCAGTGTATTGGACATACGACGAGACTTCTGTTTAGGAAGATATTGGAACACGTTTCGGCTTCTTTACTCGAAGAGACACTTCGGACCATCAATATAGCAATCCTACAACATTTAGTGGATAGTGGAGATCAATTGGACACAGTGACAGCCGTCAAACCAGTCCTGGCAACTCCCAGAGTTCACACGAAAGTATTAAGCGGGCGGCTGCTTATGCCATCAGAAGCCACAACAATTTGATTATTGAAGCCTGAATAGTGCAAGCAACGTAACCTTGTGCAACAGTTGTTGTTGCAAAGACCGTAACAAGTGATTCTATCATGGTTCCCATATACAAGTTCTCTCCAGCCAATCATCTCTTTTAACACACCTTCGTTTTTCACACCTGTCTTTTCACGCCATATGGCTGAACATTTCACGCTTACTGCAGTTCACGCGACGGACAAAATTCATCAGGTTGAAGCATGTTGTCAAGTTACCAGATTTGTTGTAAACTTACTCATGCACTCCTATCTATAACTGCACATACACCCTCCTTTGCCCAATACCATTTACGTGAATGTCTGAAGTGATATATGGAAAAGAAATTTCTCCGTGTTACAAGTTCTTTCATGAGTCGATGGGCATATTAAACGAGTTGCGACAACAACGTTAATGAATTTTAAATGCTTCATTATTCAGCTTAATCGAAATTACTTGTGGGTAGTGTGTGAGATTGATGACATATTGCTTGGTTGACTGTTCTTTGGACTCCACATTTCAAGTACAAACCTCAGGTCATCCGACCAACCCTGCATTTGGAAGCATTAGACTCAGGTCAGAGCTATTGTTAGAGCTCATCAGTGGTGCATATCGTCCGCCTAATCCAGGGTATAAACCATGGCCTTTTCACTTGGAATGCGTATGTGTTACTACGGCGCAACCCTGCTTATCTTCGGGCTGATCCAGATCACCGAGTTATGTTTGTTCAGATGTCATCCTCTATGACAGCCAGGAATGCTTGACCGTCGGCCGAACAAAGTGTCATGAATCTCACACAATACTCGGAATGATTGGAATATATATATATATATATATATATATATATATATATATATATATATATATAAACCGAGAGCTATGTAGGTTTAAATGTGGGCACAATGAACCATCCTGTAGAGATATCTTGATTTGTTGGGAGACATTCGCTTGGAGTTACCGCGATAACGACGGGAAGTAAAACAGGTTCATACAAAACAATCCAGTATATTCTTTCGTTTCTCTATTCGTGGATTCGAATGGCACAGTGCAAGAGAATAATCACCATTAGGATTAGCTGAACTTTTCGGAGGTGACTACTCATCGATCAGTTGTGCATTCAATGACTCTCATTTTCACCAACCACTTTCGTGAAAACATACTTTTTCCGATGATCGTCTTTCCCTTTTGAGTAGGACTTCTTCTGAGGTGTTCCTTATCCAGTATCGAAGGCCAGAATTCTCGATTGTTGCATGTTGACTGGACATTTTGCAGTCGACGAATGGGCGCTTTTGTTCATCGGTAACGGAAACGACCACTGAAACGCCAATCTACACAGGCAAGGAAACAAAAGCGAATGTACAGGCTCAGCACACAATAAATCAGTTGAAAGCGGCTGTAAAAGACGTTTTATGTTCAGATAAATATGGCTCAATTTGTATACACCCAGAAGGGACTGAACTGACACTGCATTTTGAACATCTATTCACTTTGCTGGCCTAAAATTCAGCCTAAATCACAGGAAGGAAACGTTGCTCAGTACGATACTGCAAATAAAGTTTGTGCATGTTAATCTTTCTGAACAATAGTATCAGTCCGGTTGATAGCGTGACCTGTTCTAACTTGCAAAACACTTATTTCTACGGGGTGTTATGCAGTAGAGAAATGTGGAATGTCTTTTCATTGTTGAAGAAACTTCTAATCAACGTTAGCCGAATGCCCTCATGTTCATCTTTGCTACCATTTTCCAGTAAAAATAGAACAAATCCGAGGACCAATATTTTTTCTTTTATATATAGATATATATATACAGTAGTCTCCGTGAGATTGCTACCCTCCTGAATGAGATAACCTCTCTGCAAGAAAATGTTTTCTACAGAAGACTTAAACCATGTAATATGCCCATCAGAACCGAACAAGAAATACTTTCATTAAGAATTTATCCCCAAAGAAGAAACTCTTCTGAGTTAGATATGATAATTCCCTTTCCTGATCATAATTGGTCCTAGAGATATGGTATCGGTTTTCCTGTCGGTTACCACATTTGACCTGCTAGAAGCTTAGGCGATTCTTCATTCCAAGTCTCACAGTCCGGTTGGTGGCTATCGCTAATGGTTCAGTGGGCTCTGAGGCCATGAACGGTGCCTTAGCCACCGAATTCGTGCGCGCCCATACAGCAGAATAGGTTAGAATCACCAGGCCGCTGGGTTTGGTGAGTTCCAATCACGTCGACTGAGGTTTATATGGGTCACTCAGCAATAGTGGTAAAATTATTCGGTTATTTCGTTGATGACTGCGGAATAAGCCCATCATAGTACTCAGAACACGAGTTGTAGGCGAACATATGCTTTCGGTGATTTCATTCTCAAGTCATTACAGTCACATTTATATGAAAACGAATTATTAAGAAGAGTTGGAAAAAGTCTCACTAGGTCAATGTGGATAATTAAGGATGAGGAGGGATGGAACCCTGTGTGAGTGACCACATTATGTAACCGGTGCTGATTAGCTTACGTCACCACTGCGCCCGGTTGGGTAACACAGTTGAGTGTTGGCCATGGGAGTTGTAGTGCTTGGACTAATTTTCGCTGCGCGCAAAGCTCAGGCTTCAAGAAGCGGATGATAATTGCCTCGGCATTCGCTTGTATCCGGAGCCTAATTGCTCTTGACACGTTGTGGGACCCGGTAGACGACTTTGAAGGCGGACTGGATGTCGATTGAATGCCCAGTTTTCAACAAGGGCGAGACGATTGAGCTTGATACTACTCCATTGCCTCCGTGTCTAAGCCATCGTAGGTGATGCTCCTTGATGCGTTTTGATAGCTGTCTTGCAGTTCGACCTATGGAAGCAGCACCACAGGTGCGCCTAAATTGATAGATGATCATGGATGAGGTCAACAACGGCAGCTTATCTTTATTTTCACATCGGATTTTTGGTGACGTGAAAAAGACGCATCTGGTCTTGGCCGCGTTGAAGGTGGACTTAACCGTGGCACTCAAAAATTTACAGACTCTTTCGGCTGCGACATCTCCCTTGAAGGGGAGTCGGATGAATAATACTTTCTTTTCTGCTTGTGTGATTCTCGCTGGTTTTATCCGTTCGGTCCGGTTTCTTTGGATGAATTTCTCAGGATAACCGTTGCTAAGTAGCGTCTTCCTTATGTTTGATAGCTCGGCCTCTAGAGTATCTGCAGTGCAGATATGTTTCGCCCTGTGTAGAATACAGCGTATTAGATTACGTTTGTAACCAAGTGGCACAAAACTGTGAAAGTTTGTGTACTGGCCACTGCAGGTGGCTTTCCGATACACCTTCCTCTGGATCGAGCCATCAGATCGTCTGGTTAGGAGTACATCAAGAAACGGTAGGCAATTTTCTTCTTCCATCTCTGCGGTGAACATGACTGCGGAGTGCGTAGTGTTGAATTCGCGAGATATGTCATCTAAGTTGGTTTGCGCATCAGCTATGCAAAATATATCATCCACATATCGGTAGCAGTGGTCCAATCGACTTATTATTCTGCGTAATGCTTGAGTCTCCGGTTTTGCCATGAAAATGTCAGCCAGAAGTGGTCCTAGATGTGACCCCATAGCAACCCCATCCTTCTGGCGATAATAAGTGTTGTAAAACACAAACTGTACATTCAAAGTGCATTGAAGAATTAGTTCTCTTAGATTGGCCGTTAGAATTCCTACGGATATTGCTTCTTCATCAACAAAAGGACAAATAAAGTCTACCGTTTCAATAAAAGGTACTTTAGTGAACAAATAAACCACATCTAAAGAGAACATTTGTTTTCCTGACATGTTCACATCTTTAATAACTTCAATAAAGTGAAACGTGTCACGGAGTGTATGTTTTGCAAGTTTCTGTCGTACGGGTTCTAAAAGACTAACTATCCATTGGGCTGTCGTTGATCTGGGTGGGAGCATTCGTGTCTCGTGCTAAGACACTGACATTGTTCACCTGTCAATTTGACCCAGATACTGATGTGATGAACAGCAATCACAATGCTAGTAAGCCGGGTTTGTAAGTAGTTTTGATGAATTTAGAGGGCACGTTTCACAACATGACGAGTCGAGCAGTGCATTCAATGTCAACCACAGAAGACTGTTGCTTTGAAGCCTGCCAAACGTTAGATTTTGTCAAGTTGGTCAAAGATATCCTAGCATGAAAGATGAAAGAGATAGGTTGAAGGTGATGTGCTGCACTGAATTCGATGGAACATTGCAACAGTTACCCACTGGAATAGGAGACATTTCGAGATTATTTGAATGTTGACCGCGAATCAGAATTATTAACAACTAAAGGTAGCAAGGGTTAGGTGAAAAGCCGAAGAAGTGCACTGGCTTCTGAGAACCAAAATATTTTTTATTGCTGAATAATTGCAATTAACCGTCGAAGAAATATTAGCAATAATTTGTTATAATTCTCCTTGTAATGTCTAATTTGTATATGGCTCGATTCAATAGACGATGCATATTCACTATGGCAATCGTATCTATATTTTTGTAAAAAATAACCCAGAAGTTCTAATCCTCAGCACCATCATCATAATCGCACTGCATTACACTTCAGCCCGAGCCCCACTGACCACTGCCTTTCTCATCATGTTGCACATGGAAATAGAAAGAATAATTATATACAACATGGAAAGCGAGGGGAATTACACGGGTGGGAAAAGGCAATAACGTCCCAGCAACCAAGACACGGAATACACAGTCTAACTGGACAAACGCACATTGATCAACCATTCTGATTTGACAGAAAGTGACAACACGATCGTCCCTGCTCTCGCTTAACTGCCATATTCTTCAGTGTCTCCAGCCAACTGGCTGAGGAATCATTTGGACCCCAATCACGTTGCCGTGATACCTCTACTTTTCTCAAGTTCGATGTACATTCCCACATTCTCCGCTGTCATGTCATCCGTTGACTTCCACGTGGCTTTCTCCAGTCCATAGGAGGAAAGCTGTGATAGTATATCCCCTGAACGAGTAACCACCACTCGATTTCTAACCTCAGCATTGTTAACCCCGTCATTCCACCCAATCTTACCGATACTACGCAGGATTCGATGAAAAAAATCGTCAAAGCGACGGACATCTTCCGCACACAGACTCCATGCTTCTCAACCATACAACAGAACTGGGCACACAACAGCACAGTACACACAAAATTTCAACTTCGGCGAAATATCAGGTTGGCGCCACAAGTGCTTTGGTCCAGCGTACGCTGCTCGAGCTGTTGTTATAAGCGTGCCACCACAACTGCCGTGCTCCCATCCTAACAAGTACCAGTTCGCAAGGCAGCGGGATGGTTTAGTGGAAGCTCGTCTGTGTGGATCGATAACTCTTCTACTGATTCAAGTGACTTAGCTGCCATCTCAGACCGACCCTCATCCATGAGCTCCAGGAGACTGGACTTCGTCTGGCATCTACCCATTGACCCTCCAGGTATGTTTGCATCTTCGGTTTAGGAAGCCATCTTGTATAGGTGATTGGGTCATAGAGGCATGCAAGCCGTCACTCCACTTCAAGTTGCAATCTCATCATGATGGTTTCAAAATACCATTCCAAACATGTGTGAACCAGTGACGGCATAAAGGCTGCTACTTCGACTCCACAAAAACGTTTCCGTAGTAAAATTTACGAATCTGAGCTATTAAATTGTAATTCCGGTCACATTCACGTTGTAAAATGGTTGAAATGGTCAAAATACTTATTTTTAGTCTAATTTGTGTCAGACATTATACCAACTATGTGACATCTTCAGTTTCGATCAACCCACCCCTCCTTGATTGGAAACTGTTTTAGAGATCCAGGGTTATGCTTGCTGATAGGGCGACAACAATCTATATATGCACAAATGGTGTTGTTACTCAACTCGACTTCATTGTCAGGTTTTGGATATCTCTTATAGCTAAGGAGATATTCTTGTTGTGCAACGGTTTAGCATTTGAATTGTACACGAGTAATTTGCAATTCACAATCGAATAAGAAAATAAACACGGGTGATCCAACTTGATCACAATAAGCGAACAAGTACTCGCAGAATTACCACTAACAAAGTTGCTGCAATGAGCCAGTGTACGTGTGTAGTTACAGCAGCTGTAAGGTTGACACTTTTAGGTAATAATTCGGAATTCCTATTACGTAAACCGTATTTTCATTTTAACTACATTTTTCGGTTGAGGAAACCAAAACTCACAAACTAACTGCTACCATCGTCATCAGTAGCCAAAATAGTAATACGAAACACTCAGGGTGGCTGCCTCTTACTGGTAAAGACCATGTAATAAACAAAATTTCGTGCATTCTATGGCAGTACTGAATAATAATGGTAGTTCTTCACGATAGTTTTAGGGGCAGTTGTGTTCTACGGACATATGAGTTCTGTTCAGAGACGAGAGAATATCACGGTCAATTACTTGGACCCCAACTTTCACTGAAACTCCGGGTCATGCGTCCACCTTTGAAATCAGAAGCTCTATAATCGAGTTATGCTCTTGTTAGAGCTCATCACTGATGCATACAATCCACCGAACCAAGGGCTTGCACCCGGGTCTTTTCGCATCGAACACGTGTGTGTTGACACTGCGCTACCTCGTTCCAGTCCGGGTTGATCCTAAACAATACAAGTCATTGCTAGACGTGTACAAATATGAATAAGAGAAGAGCGCAAACAGATAAAGTGTCCCAGTCCTGCGAAGAAGACCTGACTTTGTGGAGGGCATTCACTTGACGTTAGTTGGACAATGCCTGTACCTCCTGGAAGCTGTGGGGCATTCCTGGCTGTCATAGAGGATGACATCTGAACAAACATAACTCGGTGATCTAGATCAGCCCGAAGATAAGCAGGGTTGCGCCGTAGTAACACATACGCATTCCAAGTGAAAAGGCCATGGTTTATACCCTGGATTAGGCGGACGATATGCACCACTGATGAGCTCTAACAATAGCTCTGACCTGAGTCTAATGCTTCCAAATGCAGGGTTGGTCGGATGACCTGAGGTTTGTACGTGAAATGTGGAGTCCAAAAAACAGTCAACCAAGCAATATGTCATCAATCACACACACTACCCGTAAGTATTTGTGAAATAGGTACAAATACCATGATTGTTTTCATTATTTTGACTAGTGTAATCTCATTGTCCGTTCGCCCTAATTATCGGTTTTTCTGATCTTATGACTGGTCAGTAAAACACGGAAATCATGATAAAAATAAGAGTTATGACTACTGGTCTTTTCTAATCAGGGGTTATTTTATTACATGTATTCCGTAGTATTTTCGGAATACTCAATCCATTTTATTTGCCATTTCTCTTAGTATCTGGCTTGCAGCAACATTACCAAACAAAGGAACCACTCGCATTCAACGAACAAATAGCTAGCTTCTATCGCATATGAGGTCACAAAATTTGGTTCACACACTAACTATTCGGTAAAATTTACCATCAGTTCATTCATTTATTTCATTGGGTATCTGGTACTACGACCTTCTATGTTAGAAAGGTTTTCTGTCAAGCCCAGAATCCGATGCTTTTGTACACCAGTTCAATAGTTTTACTAAAGTTTTAAATGCAATACTCATTTTTTACATCAAAATTCAAGACGAATATACTTTTCTGATCTCGTCTTTTTGTGTTAACTCACCCAGCTATTTTCATCGCCTGTGGCGCACAAATCTCCCAAATCGATATTTATCATGTTGCGCTCGGCAGAAAATAACCTGAAATTGATGTACCAGAAAACGTTATAAGAAAACGTATTCACTCAGGTAACTAACGAAACCATGGTAATTTCGCCCACAAATCCTGCATCACAAACAAGCTAGTTTGTCGTTTTGTATCGCACTCAAGTTTTCAGCATTTTAGGCAGGTAAAACGCAGTTGATCTACTCTTCAGGTATCTCCTCAAATGCTTCATCTGACTATGGCATCAGATGGGTGCAAAACCCAATTGATAACTCGCACCAATGTATTTAGGAAAGAAAAGCTTCACAAGAATTCACAAATATACCAAAAATAATATTTCAGCGTTATATTTTACACAACATGGAGGGCGACAGTTTTGCGGTGAATTCAGAATGGGAACTATAATCCCTAACAGACGTCTGATCTAGTAATTGCAAAACGACTGGGTCGACGGTACAATACTCGGACAGTCAATGGCGAGCAATAGATGAAGCCAGTTCACCCACTAGCTTAAGTTAGAACGCAGGTTGGTGAGCAAACAGGAAGGATATTCAGCATTTCATTAGCCAACTGATAAAAACGGTTTGAGGAGTATCGATTACAGCAGTTTATTTGATTTTCTCAGGGCGGAGCAGACAATCTCGAATATCGACTGAGAAACACACAGCCAATAAATGAGAAGAATTAAATTGTAATAAAGTTTGAATGCTTTAGGAGGTACAACTTGAAACACGCAATAAATCAGTGAGCCAAAATTCTTTGAGTGTGAAGTGATGTTCAGCGAACGTAATTATTCCATCCTAGCCATCGCCTTCATACTGATGAAACAGAATGACGTGTATAATGAAGTATCATTATTGTAAAGCAGCTTTTCAAACAACGTTCTTTATCAGTCAACCTCACACGAACTTCTTACTTCCAAATAATACGAACGTTTGAGACTCACGTCGGTCTAATTAGGATATTCGGGCATCTCATGCCAGACCCGATCTCTCCAATAGTTGCATTTGCCATCTGAGCTCCGTTCGACACTGTACACTTCAAGTTTGTTCGCACAACACATCCAAAATGACGCAATTGAATTCGGTACAATAAATGGTTGGCATGCATGTTACCAGGACTTGCGTTGAAATTCTTGTCCGAGTGGATATCCGGTGTTCGAAATTCGAAGTGGCACATCTATTTTTGGTCAATTAGGGGTCAACGCAACAGCTTATTTACAGGCAATTTCGTTAAAAGTTTTCGTGGAATTTCTACACACCTACAATTTTGTTTGTTTTATATGAGGCCCACTTCGTATCTACCTGATTGTTAGCAGATATGAGTGCAATGTTTGATTTAGTAACAACATACGTTACTTTACAAAGCTATTCAGAGGACAAGGGCCTGGGATACAAACATGCGACAATCCATGGAGTTTGAGCATAAATAGTGGTTGCTCTATCAAAGCATGTACATTTTGGATTGTCTACTGGAATCCTAAAGATATACGTGATCAAATAACAGACATTTTGCCAAAAGTAAGGACCCACTGGTTCATCTCAGGTTAGTTTAAGAACCACAAATTAGAAGTTGCACAATTTGAGTGTGAATGATCATTCTGGACAATTTACTATTAATCGATCTGAACTGCATCCAATTGGTGCTCGTCACATTTGGTCAACGAAATACAGAGCTATATGATTGACGATTGAACAGTTTGTCCTTCCTCTCGTCTTTGATGTTATTGATGTACCCTACCACGAGCTATACGTCAAGTCACATTTACGTGCAATATTTCAAAGCATTTCCATTATTCATCAAGTATAATACTTACGATATTATGAATAGTGAATTTATCACAGGTTTTCATGTGTTTGCTGGTTTTCACAAATAAACACAGTATCGTCTAGTAAACAAATAAATTTGGATTTCAATTCAATCGGTTGTTGATTCTCATCGAGCAATGCACGAATGATGACCTCATAATTGCCCCGTCCATTCCACTTGAGTAAATAGGGGTATGGTTGTCACTCAAAGACAGTTCCAGAAAAATCATAGTAGTAATATTTAGGGTAGAACAAAACTTTTTCTACTCACGTTATCTTCTTCATGCCCCGCCTCTGCGATTCCAATCAACGTTTGGAAATTGAATAATTATTCAAAGAGTGTTTGATTAAATATCATCGATCATAGCTGAACGAAGAAAAGTCAGTTGAATATCAACCACCGAACACTTTTGTTCATAAATCTAAGCGCGTGTTCAATTAACACCCACCATCTTCATTCCACAACTGCCAACATGATTCACAATATAATGGACCATGTAAAGACTGTAGGAAAAAATGAACAGGATTATTTTTCGGAAAAATGAGTAAATTTTTATTCCAAAGAATTATTGAACATTTGAAAACAACTGTCGTATCTAGAACATCTTCGGATGTCTTTTGGCTCGTTACTGTGAAAAATCAACCACATGATGTAACTAATTAGAGAAAAAGAATACATGCATGTAGTTAGAGTGACGAAATCCCAAACCGACCCATTGAATTAAGTTTCACTTATTTAGCAAGTGGTCTGGGGAAAACTCGGTGCTAAAAATGCATCCATGGAAACCGTTATGCCAGCTTGTTTTCAATCGTACTTGCTAACATTTGACTAGGCGCATGTAGAGAGTTTTTCATCCTTTTGTCTAGTCAAATGCAAATAAGCTTCCTTCATCAGTTCACTGTTTCCTTCCCAGCAAAATTTCATTTTTCAACTTGATCACTAAACTTATCAGATTATTTACCAATTCAGGAATTAAAAGCAGTTATCTGAATAGATTCGCAAATTCGAATTAAAGCGTGTATTTTGAATAAACTAACTGAGTTTCTTTCGTGTGTTTTTGTGTCATTGATTTGACTACTCTTAACAGTCGGATAGGTTTTTAATGTGCATCAAATCACGCACACGTGACATTCATTGTGAAACACATGATCAATTAACTCACACTTTTCAGACTGAGTAAATTGAAATTTGTCAACTTCCGGATTGCATCCCATGCGTGTGAGCCAACGAAACAGACCACATGTACGCGAACCACAGTTTCGGCCTCGAAGTGATTTGATCCGTCCTCTAAGATAGCTTTGACAGTCAAAGCCATTGATATTGGGGGCAGCATGGAGAACAATTCCAATGCTCCGGTTTTGGAATCAATCCTGAATGCGTTTTGCTCAACCCCTTGATTCTCAAGTAGGTACTGGATTCTACTTGTAGGTTTCATCTCGTCAACTCGTAGACGGATAACAGGGATCAGTCTGGGTATTTCATCTTGACAAATCGTCACATGGTATACGGGTTTTGTGAACGAAAGCTTCCCAACGACTAAAGATTTAAAACAGAACAAAACAAGAGATTTTGGAAACGGAACATGACTTAGTTTAACATCAGCAAAGGACGACTTCTACAGTGCAGTATTTCAAAACACAGTATTGCGGAAAGCAAAAATGGTGAGAATTGCAGGTAATCTAAATATCTTTCGTCATTTGTAGTTTGGGTTTCAGAATCGCTCAGGAGACACAAATGGCTGCCCGAAAATAATGAAAAAAAGATGTGCAAATGGAATTAATAAGACTGATTAGCAAAATACTTCAACTATTACAACTGAACATACCCAACGGAGAGTACTGTAGAAACAGTAAAAGTGTTGCTACATGAAACATGATCAACAACTTTCATTGATGACACCGTAATTGATGGGGACCCGCCCATTAGAGAAATTTATACAATGTCTACTGTGGGATGGCAGTTTTTCATTCGCCAAAATACGATTGGTTTAAAACTGAACAGCCAGTCCAAAATGTTCGGATAACTGGCCAATCAAATGTGAGAAAATAAGCGATTGAAAATATCGAAGCCGTAGCTACGAACAATGAAAGACAAATTGTAAGAACTGATGCAAATGCAGATCAGTTTAGCTTGGCCGTTACACACTGATTCCTTTCTAGCTGCCAAATGACGATAACAAGTAGGTGTTGAAGGAACTTTCCAAATAGACGCAAAATGACTGAGAAAACTTTTCTTCGTATGGAAGTTGGTTCTAGCCTAAAACTATGAACAATTTACAGCAATGAGTGAAAAATGAATGGAATGAATAAATTTTAATAAAGTTTTCACGATGGATGTTTCTCTTGAGGTAAATTCTGATCACTAAATGAGATCCACCGTAAAATCGTCACAAATGTTCCAGCTATAATTCATACGGGTGTTCAAATTCGTGTCACTGTTACAGCTGTTTCTAATCGGCATCCTTATGGGCCAAGTCGGGCAATATTTTGAAGTCAAATCAAGTCATATGCCTGCAGTATGCACTCCATGCGGTGAGTATTCATCTGTCAAATAAAATCAAGTTTTAATAATTGAATGAAAAAGTCAAGCAATCATGGCCACCAGCTCAGTTATGGCTTGATCAGGCTTGTTAAGAAGTCTGACCAGACAGGAGAAAACATAACATTTGTATGGTTTTAACGAGCAAATAATCGCAACTAGTTGGGGTGGAATGATTCTGAACACGTCTGACAGGATCTTGGTGGAATAGGTGTCAAGGCGTCAGCTAATGTTTTTTCGGACAGACCTGGCAAACACGGGAGTATTGTATTGCCTATTAGTGGTAGGAGAACATACCGCTGCACTAAGAAACAGTCTTCAGCAATCTGATGTTAAAGTAGAAGCATATTTGATAGACAGTGAGATGTCGAAAGTGGGCATGATAAATAGATACGCAGAGAATAAATGGAACCTTGTAGAACACTCAGTTTCAAAGTTGTGACGGAAGAAGCCCTGTCACAATATCATGTGAGTTAGTGGTGTTTACCGAAGCAATCATACAATCAAGCATTGGCAGAAGATAAAAGGCCGCGCGCAGAAAGAGCGCGGAGTAAATTCCCTTTTTCATTGTAGCTGAAGCTGTCATTTTATTCTAAAAGCGCACCATGCGAGCTTTACTTTACTTGTCTAGGGATGGCAAAAAGCAATGGCATAAATAGCCTTGGGCGTCCACAGTAATATGTGAAGAAAGTGGAGATCTAGCCTGTTCGGTAATTCCACTTGAAAGAGAAAAATGGTGGTTTCACATGACGGATTACTTCCAAGGACCTGTGGTTCCAATAAGAGTTCAGTATACTTTCAGAGTTTTGTAGATATAGGTCAGGGATAAAATTTAAATTCTCTTTTTCGTCTTAGAAATGTTAGCAGGACGTTTCCGGAAACCGTGATATGATGGGGCGCAAAATAGGCTACTTTTTATTCGCGCATGTAATGAACATATTTTGGTAGCTCTGGCTCAGATCGGTTTCAATCACCCTTCAAAAATGGTTCAAACTTTAAAAATCTTTAGGTGAATTGTGTCTATGAAATTATTAAAAATTATAATTTCATGAAGACTTTAGAACACCCCAGTCTGGTTTACTCACCTAAAGAGAAATGACCAAGGCTCAAGCAAATACACGAAATTCTCTACTTTGAGTAGCCTAAGGCAAGTCAATTCTCTTACCGGTATATATAAAATTTACCGCACGGTAGAATATGTGGAATTGTTTGTTTGTGGCTGGAGTTTACCGGAAGCTGTGATTTAGCACCACCGTGAATGGTTGGCGCTTTGATTTTGGCTTTCCGTGTTGGACTTTTTGATGAAAAATCTAAGTGGATTTCCCATTGTGTAATATCCATAATGCTTGGGCCAATGATATATTTGTTGGGGGTATTTCATAGTCTATTTGGTCGTATTCAGTAGTGTGATGTTTGACCTACTGGGCAGTGACTAACGAGGATAGTCCAGTTATTAAAACCAGAACATGTAATGTATATTCTTGAAACAGTGTTTTTTGCATCATTGTATATTCGTTTGTATTATTCACATTCGACTGGCCGTAGTTGCGCAGCTCCGATGGTAGCGCATCTTCTCGGTAGTTAGAAGGTTGTCGTTTCAGTTCTGGCTGATGGCGTGGTACTTTTGGAGG